TCGCACGCTGAAAGACCTGTTGCCATATTGTATTAGGATGAACTGTGTGAAACCTGAGACACTAATCTGATATACTATACTGAATGTATTCATTAAAAAAAAATCACTTTTTCATATGTTTTCCACTCCAAAAGCCAATGATCATTAATTTGATCATTTAAGTCATTTTTTCCTTCCGCTGGATTCTGGTTTTTCATTTAATTGTAATTGTTTTAACTGAAAATGTTCAGTGTTTAGGCCAGAGAGAATCTTTGGTAATACTGACTGCGATGTTCCTGGTGGAGTGGGGTGGTGAATCATCCGTTCTTCTATTGTGCTCTGGATACTCTCAATGGCAGAGAGGTTGTGAAGAGTGCTTTCACGTTCACCAGCACACGGGCCTTGTTCCAGGGCCACTCCATCAACAGGAAAGCTGTAGCCTTTATTGGGCTCGGGGGCAGTTTAGTCTGTCCTCCTGAGAGATGGGAGGATTTTTACCACGATATGGCCATACTGACATACTGGTTTGGACTTATAAGTGTCTTGATCTTATTCTCACTTTGTTTTCCTCCTTAGAGTCCGGTGTACCTAACTGGTGAACATTTGAATAAGAATGTTCTTAACCTAATTTATCGTCTTTCTTTGGTACCTACTAAGTGACATGTCCTGAATGTCATTATTATTCAAAGGAGCCCTGATCTGTATCCACCCGTCACCCAGACCAGAATGGACCTGCATGTGTCTCTCACCTTCTTCCCTCTCCTGGTCCCTCCCTCTCCCGCAGTGCATCACTGAGGAGGGTTTTCGACTCTTCCTCAAAACTCTGCTGGAAGTGGAGGATTTCCCAGCAGACCTCTGCCAGCGCCTCTTCCGCTCCTTTCAGAACGACGAGCATGAGCACCCTGATGGAACCAGGCCTGCCGTCGCCAGTAAGCCTCCTCAGGCCTCCTTTGATGCCTCATTTCAGCAGCTATGGTTGCCCCCTGCCTTACCCTGAGATGGAATCTTCCCAGCATGGTCAAAAGCCTCTATTGAACTTACTTGTTCTGCTAGTTATATCTGTATTGGGGAGTGTACTGTAGGAAAAAAAAAACAGATAAAAATGGACAGACATTCAGATAACACCTTTAAATATTACCCAATATTGGGAAAAAAAATCTGATTACATAATGTATCACCTGTTCTCTATCTAATATAGAAACATATTTGGTCTTATTCTCATTCTCGCTCTCTCTCTAAGGGGAGGTCTGTCTTAAGGATGTGTCATGCTACTTCTCGTTGCTGGAGGACGGACAGCCTCGTGAAAAACTAGAATGTGAGTCCTGTATTGGCCTGGTTTCAAAGACAGGGCTGTTATCTTACTTGTGTGTGGCAGTATCTCTGTTAATCTCTCATTCGCATACCTGTGTATGCTCTGGTGGATTCCCAGGAGCATTCTGTCTATACTCCAGGCGTCTTTGTTGTTCCGTGGCTTAGCTAAGTGGCATACTTTCAATACACTGTTCCTCTTCCACTTCCAGTTACCTTTAAGCTGTACGACAAAGATGGCAACGGACTTCTGGACAGCTCGGTAATCTGGAAATTACTCGACAAACCAGGCATTTCACTCATTCAGTCATTCTGTTGATAGTCACATGCTAACAGAATTTTTAAAAGCTTAACAGTTTTCACCTTCACATTCTAAAATGCTGGAAATGTATGATACCCAAATTATCATGCACTTGTTTAATAGATTTGCCCAACATAACATTTAACAGTACAGAATATAAATTTTTACATTCATAATCAGTTATTTCTTCTATATTGAAAAGTTTGTTGGTCATTTATTGTTTTGTAGGGTTAGCATAGATTGCTTGGATAGGTTTCCTCACAGTAACCGTACTTACTATACACTATTTGGACAAAAGTATTGGGACACCTGGCCTTTATAAATACTGGAACTTTTATGACATCCCATTCTACATCCATAGGCATAAATATGGAGTTGGTCCCCCCTTTGCAGCTATAACAGCGGTCACTCTTCTGGGAAGGCTTCCCACAAGAGTTTAGAGTGTGTCTGTGGGAATTTTTGCCCGTTCATTAAGAAGAGCATTTGTGAGGTCAGGCATTTGTATTGGATGTGAAGGCCTTGTTCGCAGTCTCTTTTCTAGTTCATCCCAAAGGCGTTTGAAAGGGTTGAGGTCAGTGCTCTGTGGGCAAGGTCAAGTTCTTCCACACCAAACTCACCCAATCATGTCTTTATTGATCTAGTTTTATGAACTGAAGCACAGTCATGCTGGAACAGGCCTTCCTCAAACTGCTCCCACATTCTCTGGAAGCAGAGAATCATCCAAAATGTCTTGGTATGCTGTAGAATTAAGAGTTCCCTTCACTGATACTAAGGGGCCTAACCCAACCTCTGAAAAATAATTCCATACCATTACCCCTCCTCCACAAAACTTTACAGTTGGCAGAATGCAGTCAGGCAGGTAACATTCTCCTGGCACCTGCCAAACCAAGCCAGGCAGAGAAGTGTGATTCGTCACTCTACAGAACATGTTTCCACTGCTCCAGAGTCCAGTGGCAGCATGGTTTATACCACTTCATCCAACACTTGGCATTGTGCTTGATGATGTGAGGCTTGCATGCAGCTGCTCAGCCATGGAAGCCCATTCCTTTAAACTCCCGGCACACAGATTTTGTGCTGGGGTAAAATGCCAGAGGAAGTTTGGAATACTGCAGTTAATGAGTCAATGGAGTGTTGGCGACTTTTACTATCTATGCGCCTCAGCACTCGGCGACCCCACTCTGTTACTCTACATGGCCTGCCACTTTGGGGCTGAGTTTCTGATGTTCCTAAATGTTTCCACATTGCAATAAGACCACTTACAGTAGGCCGTGGAACATCGAGCACGGAAAATAATTCATGAACTGACTTATTGCAAAGGCAGCATCCTATGATAGTACCACACTTAAGAACATAACTATACAAACGAGAGGAGGCCATTCGGCCCATCGAGCTCGCTTGGGGAGAACTTAACTAATAGCTCAGAGTTGTTAAAATCTTATCTAGCTCTGATTTAAAGGAACCCAAGGATTCAGCTTGCACTACGTTATCAGGAAGACTATTCCATACTCTGACTACACGCTGTGTAAAGAAGTGCTTCCTTAAATCCAGTTTGAAATGTTCTCCCGCTAATTTCCACCTATGGCCACGAGTTCTTGTATTTGAACTAATGCTGAAGTAACTATTCGGTTGAACAGCATCCAAACCTGTTAGAATCTTATAGACCTGGATCATGTCCCCCCTCAGTCTCCCTTGAATTCACTGAGCTCTTCAGAATGACCCATTCTTTCACAAATGTTTGTAAACCTGACTGCATGACTAGGTGCTTGATTTTATACACCTGTGGCTATGGGTCTGAATAAAACCCCTGAATTCAATGATTAAGAGGTGTGTCCCAATATTTATGTCCATATAGTATAATTTCCTAAAAATATTTACCACAAACACATTGTGAGCATACTTAACCTCCTTTAATATCTAAAGATAATGCATCAGCTATGTTTACTGACTCGATGACACAAAGACCTTTTCACTCATTTGACATGAAATTCATGTGAATGTCTCTTGGGGAACAGTCCTGTAACCTACAACCTGCTGGTCCACACAGCTTGATTAACACTTCCTTAACATTCGCGGCTGAGGTGGAGGTTGGTAAACGTGTGAAACACTCAGCCAGCGATTCCACCTCATTCCGGTCCCCTGTCCCACAGGAAGTGGACCGGATCATTGCCCAGATGATGCATGCTGCGGACTACCTGGGCTGGGACGTGACTGAGCTCCGGCCGGTGAGTACACGAGCAGCACCCTGTGGACCGTGCTCAGAGAGCTGCGTCCAGGGGGCGCCAGCGAGCAAGCGGCGGAGTGCTGGGCTAAGCACGGCAGGTGACACGGCCTCGGCCTCACTCAGGTGCTGAAGGACATGATGACGGCCATCGACTCAGACGGCAACGGCACGGTCTCGCTGGATGAGTGGATTGAGGGTGGGATGAAGAACGCGCCACTACTGGTTCTGCTGGGCCTGAAGGTGAGCCTGGGAGGACCCCACACCCCACTGCCGCCTCCTTACTCCTGACTGCACCTCACACGCATGCATTCCTACACCCCGCAGTCAGTTTAAATCTGAGGGTTCAGCACAGCCGGTCTTCTGCTCATCAGGTTTGGGAACCATCTCAGGTGCCCTCTCCGGTTCCACATTAGTTGCCTGGTGCTTTATGTCCCTGGTGTCCATTCCTACTGTCTTCCACACAATGGTGCACACTCTATTCTACTTTAACTTCCCCTCCCAGTACAAAGGCACATTTCACTAATGGAACACAAGTAGATTCACTAATGAAGGTGCAGGAGCCGTCAGACTTTTTGCTAAGTATTCTACATTTTATTCCATTTCCGCTGGCACTCTGAGTCCTGGGGAAGGGTTAGATGATCTTTTGGCAGTTAGCCATTAGCAAAGGTAGCATTAGCTGTTAGCTCCCTGGATGATACCCCAAAGGGGGCATTTGCCTATAGCTGCGGTATTTTTTTTTTTTTCTTCACAGCTTCTAAAATGTTTACCACAGCATGTGAAAAATGTGAAATATGCAGATGGGGAACACAAGGGCCAGCTGTCCGTTCGGAGAGATTTCTCTCCATCTGTGCTCAGCCAGCGCAGGGGAGGACGGATTAATCACATCTCCATGACAGACAGAGAGAGTTACCGAAAAAGCGAGGCCTCGTCACTCAGTGCAGTCAGGGAGAAGCGGCCACATCCTCGTCCTGGCCCCCTGCCCCAGCGCCCACTGCGCAACTTGCTAACATGCCAGGGACTTCCCCCCCCCCCACCCCTCGCTAAGCTATTTTCGGCTTGTGTGGTGCTGTGGGGGGAAGCAGGACCTGTGGTGGGGTCTCTGCACTCACTGTGGCGGAATAGTGAAGTCTGAGGCAAGGGCCCCCTGCCCCCCAACCCAGGGGCAGCAAAAGCTTGCATGAGGAACATCCAGTACATAGCAGTAAAACTTTGAAAAACAGGTTTTTCCACGATGTAGGTGAGGGTACTGTCCTTAATAGTGACATGTCAGAAAGATGCAGCATGTAATTAAACTGCGTGCCACAAGTCATTTCGTGAAATAAAGTATTGTGAAAAACCAGGTTAGGGATACACGAGATTTTTTAAAAACACAGTAAATGGGTCATTGCAACGCTAGCTGCAGCTTTGTAAGACCAATCCATTACTTCAATTGTATTACATTTATAGTTTTACTCGTCTCGCCCTTCAGGAAAGTTTTATGGAATGCATTTACTGTAACCTAAAAGAAGATCTGGAGCTCACACAGCGAAGCGAGTATACACTTTGCAAGGACGACGAGTTGATATATTAGATTTCGTTGGAACTCATATTTCCCAGGGACTCTAGCAAAACATTACATTTTAAGACGCGATTGAATTATTCGATCTTTCGTTACAGCTTATTCAACTTCTGCTTTCTTACATCAAAGGGCATGCTGAATACCGCAGTTTTATTTTAAAGACTTCGTTTGTTATGCATATAATCTGTTAGTTATAGTTCAGTAAGAACTGTAGTCCGTCATACCTATATTTTTCTGCTAGACAGCGGGCTAGTGTTTCGTTCTTTGTACTCTCCCTTCGTCTAAATTACTACAGGCGAGTGGGCGATTTTCATTTCCAAGACTGCATATAACAACGAAAGGCAGAGCACGAGTAAGCAGAGCAATTAAAATGCAATAGTTGCTTTCAGTCCTTCTGTAAGACAATGTACTATATGCCAATATATAAACTATAAACTATTTGTTTTAACGGAGTAAGTCAACTATAATTGTATTTTTGAGTAATTTGAACTACACAAAATAATCCCCAAGCACTAATTTATCACCTCCAATTTTTATTTATCACGCTAATTAGGGGATCTGGATTACGGAGTTTAGATTCACAGATAATCCCAAAAACATTATTTAGCGACCGATCGACGTATCCCTTTGAAGGGACGATTTTTAAACGCGTTTCGCATTTCACAAAACCACAGTAATATCTTTTCGGGTGCAACACTCCCCCCAGTGCAGTTCATTCCCAGTCCATGTCTTCCTTTATGCTAAAGCCGTCCGGGGGTGCTGATGCGGTCACTGTAAAGCTTTAAGATTTATCTAATCGCGCTACTTAACCCAGATCGAAAGTGATTCTCCTCGATTCTGAATTGCATACTTTGCCGCAGTCTAGAAAATCAGTGGACTTTACCACTGTGTTGTAAAATACAACCCTTGTAAAAAACAGCTGATCTTATCTCTTTAGGTCGTTCAGTTTTTTAATGCGGAGCAAGGGAATAACTGTTACTCAGCTGTAATAGAAATCAAAGGGCGGAAACGATCGTGCAATCGTGAACCGAAACAGCGCAACTAATAATGGCTTGTGAACACCAACAAGCTTAAGATGCATTCATGTGTGTAGATAGTTTGACAAGCAGCTTGACCGTTGAATCGACTAAACTACTCTTTGCAGATAGCTGGGGAGATTCTCAGCTGCTTTAAACAATTTCCTCACAATTTGAATGGTAAGGGTGCCTTCTGAAAAATTGTGTCTGTTTTCAAGCCCTAGTATACTCACTCAGTGTTGCCTTATGCATCATGTCAGATGACCCAGAGGGATGGACAGCACCTGTGGAGGATGAAGCATTTTAACAAGCCAGTTTATTGCAACGTGTGCCAAAGCATGCTGCTCGGACTCCGCAAACAGGGCCTCTGCTGCACTAGTGAGTTTATTTTTTGCCACTAGGTGGCGGACTTTGTAAACTTTGCCTTCGCTTTGTTGTAAATGTGTAAACTTGTTAAATTTTGGAATTCATCCTGTTGTCAGGTTGCAGGTACACTGTCCATGGGCGCTGTGCCAACAAAAATCCTGCCCCTTGCACCCGTACCTATGTCAAATCCAAAAAAGACACGGGGGTAGGTTGACAGAGACTTTTTGGGTTGCCTTTTCCCTGCTGTGATTGATTTAATCTCCATTAAGATGAGGGATAATGTCAGAAGGTGTGCCTTGTGAGTTAAGATGTAGCATTTGTTTATATGCTATTTATGCTTATGTGGTAGTTTCTCCTCGTTGAAATTTGAAATTTGTCACTGTCAATGTGTTTTTGTCTCACTGCGCATCTGTATCTGTCTTAGGTATCCTCTCATGACTGGGTCAGTGGGAACTGCGACTCGGGAAAGTGTGACAAGTGCCAGAAGAAGATTAAGAGCTCCCATGGCCTGACGGCCAAACACTGCGTTTGGTGCCACACTATGGTGAGAGCCACAAGACATGGCCAGTTGGCTTTTGCCTACCAGCCAACTGATTAAATGTCTCTCTGATTTGGGTAGCTGTCAGATGGAAACTTTGGGCTCAGAAAAGTGGGGTGGAAGAAATACATAAACCCAGCAAGCTTTTGTGACTTGGGAGACTCATGAATAGAGGAGTGCGGCAGTCATGCGCTGTTGAGTCTGTGGTCATATGTCTTATATATGGTTTATATGGTATGTGTATCTCCGTAAGTGTAATTCTAACTGACCCCACTGTTTTGTGCCAGCGCCACGGTGAGTGTGTTAACCTGGAGCCACTGGAGTGCAGCTGCGGGCTGCTGAGGGACCACATCCTCCCCCCCTGGGCCATATACCCAGTCATCAAGGTAGCTCAACAGTAGGGAGGATCTGGGTGCCATCACACAGCAGAATTTTAACGCAGGGCTGAGAAACATGGACTCAGTAGTCAATATTTGTGGTACTATATTGAGCTTTGTAGTGTATACCACTATTACCATCCTAGAATGGGCAGTATATTCCACTGGTTCTACCCTGAAATGTGCATTGTACGCCATTAGTACTATCCCGCAATGTGCAGCATATGCTACTGCTTTTATTACCCTGGAATGTGCAGTGTATACCATCTGTACTATTCTGGAACATTCAGTATATACAGCTGGTACTATCCTAGAATATACAGTGTATACCACTGGTACCATTCTGAGATGTGCAGTGTATACCTCTGGTACTATCCCTGATTGTGCAGTATATACCACTGGTACTATTCTAGAATTTCCAGTATATATCACTAGTGCTATGCTGGAGTGTTCAGCGTATAGCTGGTGTGCCATCATACAACAGAAATGCTCCACTAGTCAAACATGCCACTGTGTAGATTGGATTGTTCTTCAGTCTTCAATGAAATATTTAATGTATTTAGGCCAAGTAAAACATTTGACAAATGAATAGTGCATTTGTGTGTAATCATTCCTAGTGTGAGATAATATTTACTATGTTGTTCATTGTCATAAGTGTCTTTAAATCTCTGAAGGTTGTTTCATTGCTGGCCAATCAACAGCACAGGGACCTCTGTGTATGATGGTATTTTCATATATGCACATGTTCTTCACTGCATTTCTTAATTGCTAAATTAAACTATGTTCTGATCATTTAAAAAGAGATTTTAAATAGGGACTTTCAAAGAAAATCATAAACTGATTTATTTTCTCTTTTTTAAAAGCGGTATCAATGTTGGCCATGCCTGTTGGTATAATTAATCTGCTTGTGCATCTCTGTTTTTTAGCCCATCTGATTGGTCTTTTTCAGTGATAATTGTCTTTCTTGAGCACTGTCCTACTTAAACCCCATGAGCCCAGACTTTGCTGTCGTTCTCCTTCCCTAGGAGCGGCCAAACGGGTCTGCTGGCATGGTGGATGATTCGGAACCAAACACCACTCCGGACGGCCAGGTCCTGCAGGTACAGTCTTGGGCAACTTGCTTTGATTAGACAGTTTTATGCAGATGCATGTGTAATGAGTGTGTTTTTCTGACCACCGTCATGCTTGTTATGGGAAACCTTACGGGCCGTTGAATCTCTCTCTGCTGTCAGATCAGCCCCATTCCGGACACACACCCCCTGCTGGTGTTCGTCAATCCGAAAAGTGGGGGAAAGCAGGGCGAGAGGTGAGGTTGTTGTCAGGAACAAGATGGAGGGCAGACTGGCCCTCACATTTCAGTTCCTCTGATTGTGCATGTCCATGGTTAGGGTTTGGGTTTGGTTTGGTTTGACTTTTGGGCAGAATTGTACAAACTGAAAAACAGCCTGTTTTTGTTGCTATATCATGAATTAGTCATATTTGGGGAACCAGAACCAGAAACTCTTCTAAAATGAAGCATTGCTACCTTTGTGTACACATATTTCACATGTTAATCAATTGATAATTTCCACTTGTTTTTATCCAAAAGGGTCCTCCGCAAATTCCAGTACCTCTTGAACCCACGACAAGTTTATAATCTCTCCAGTGGAGGCCCAGGACCAGGGTAAGATCTGCAGCAATACACCACTTTCACACTGATGTCATAGGAACTACAAGCATTATACCTTGATTTTCCTTCCTGGCTGCTTGCTGATCATAGTTATTCGTATATTCAGAAATTAGCCTACATTCTTACCTTTGCATCTATTTATTTGGCAGATGCTTTTCATCACTGTAGCTTACAGGTCAATGCAAATAATAATTGCATCCAAGAGCATCGTCAGTAGCACATAATATGTGCAGTACATCTGGTACAGTGTTGGTAACGGTGTGAACTACTGAAAATTTACTTTATGTTAGTAGGTTTTATACTAATTACATGGAAAAACACCTGGTGTGACGACAAAAAAAGAGGTACCTCAGAGAAAAGGCCCAAAAACAACCAATAGCTGTACTTTGAGGTTTCTTGGATCTGCCAAACATTCAGTTTTAAAATGGGGAGATGAGAAAATTAAACAAATGGAGCAAACGAATCTGCAGACTTGTTTGCCCTCATTTTGTCTTGGACTTCCTTCCTGAGTTTAACATGGTTTTGCCTGTCCCAGAAAGGGGATGCGAAAAGGTGTAGTAGGTGGTACCTCGTTATGTGACTCATGTAATGTAACCTCGCTGTGGTGTTCATGCTGTCTGTGCTCCTGCCAGTCTACACTTCTTCAGAAACCTGCTGGACTACCGGATTTTGGTGTGTGGAGGGGACGGCACTGTCGGCTGGATCTTGGACGCTATAGGTGTGAGGCTTTCTTCATGTTCCACAGTGACCTTAAAGGTGGCTGTAGACTTCAAATGACATCTGGAAAAAACAAAATTGAACGCATAGTCGCGAACAATGTGTCACATACTTAAAACGACACCTTGTTCGTTTTATGGCACACCATAACCCGAGAGGACGCAGAATGTTTTTGATGCAGCAGACCCACATATAGAGCGCAAATAAATGTATCATGGCAAGTGTGTGAGTCATTTTAATAAAGGAGATGACAGCTCTTTTAAAATGGAAGTTGCTCTCTTTATTAACAGCCTCTATTGGTTTAATACTAGCAGCGGCATGGACAGGGAAGCCAAAATTTACACAGCACTCATGCTTACTCACGTTCCACAGCAAACACTGCATGGTTACGATTATTACTATTAACAGAAATACACAAATTAATTTAAATGGCAAAGCATGCCGGTAACTGCATAATCAGTGCTGACCAACCCTGCAGCGTCACATTTACGCTAGCCAATCATGGACAGTGGGTGGGATCTGAACGAATCTTCGGGGATCCTGCGCAGGCAGTGCACTGAAACGATAATCACCACAGTGATTATAGCTCAAACAACATTGTATTGCTAAAACAACGTCAATTCTGTTGATTTTGTTTGAAGTGCATGGCCACCTTAACAGTGTTGATTATCTAATGATTAATTTCTGATACTTCCTTTCTATTCTCTCCAGACTGGAGAATTTACCACATGGATCTGTTTTTTATAGCATGATTTGTTAAACAGCTCGTGTTGGTTCAGCACTTGCTTTTGATGTATGACTAGTAGGTGTCACTATGTACTGTTTTAAAATTCACAGTAATTATTGTGAAATAATGATAAAAAAAAAAACAAACAACGTCAGCTATTGATGACACATATGTGTTACATTCTTGCCACTCTTCTCATTGTGCCATGGTGATGCTTTATTTGGCAGCTGGGATGGAGAGCAATGGTCTAGTTAGTTATGCCCAGAATGCAAACACAAATGCCATCACCACCATGGCTTATTGCCTTAAGGGTTTAAGCTCTGTAAATATCTATCAAAACCTGAGACAAGACAGACAAGTTCCAGTCTTCAGCAGACATTGGTCTAGCATAAACTTACTTCAAGCGATTACGTACCTCTTTAACATCTGTACCTTTTTGGAGGAGGTCTTAATATTTGCTAGGTAGTGTTACTAAGTAACTGTGGATAAAGAACTGTTAATATAAGTTATGCAAGTCCTGATCATGTGCAGTTAAAGCATTATGTACAGTCATGTATATTTCTTACAGAATGATGGCTTCGTTGGGTACAGCAGGAGAATAAGAGGAGAACATTATGAACGTTGTAGTAATAAGGCATTCTGATATATCTGATATATCCACATGCTCATTTCCTACCCTGGGTGCTTTCAGACAAAGCCAATCTCGTGGTGCGCCCCCCAGTGGCCGTACTACCTCTGGGCACAGGAAATGACCTGGCCCGCTGCCTCCGGTGGGGCGGAGGTAAGACCCAACTTCACCAAAATTCATAAACGACAGCTTGATGATTAAAGTTAACTAGTGAGTGTTTGGATTACACCGGTGTTAGTGTTAAAAAAAATGGTCAGTGTGCCTATCTGTCTGCCATGGTCCCCCCGGTGTGCAGGCTATGATGGAGAGGATCTGGGTCGGATCCTGAAGGAAATTGATGGAAGCTGCCAAGTACTGATGGACCGCTGGAGCGTGCAAGTGATCCCAGAGGATAGCCAGGAGAAGGGGGACCCTGTGCCATATGAAATCATCAATAATTACTTCTCCATCGGCGTGGTTAGTATAGGGCTGGGCTGGCGAGGGGGGCTGCAGCTGTCTGTCTGATGACATCTCTTTCACTGGTGCACGTACAGGACGCTTCCATTGCCCACCGCTTCCACATGATGAGGGAGAAGCATCCTCAGAAATTCAACAGCAGGTGAGGAGAGGCATGCTGACCGCAGCAGACCAGTGGGCAGGGCCATCTCGGTTTCTACATTATGTTCCTCTACAGAAAACTCAGAAGCACATGTTCCCTGGGAGGTAACACCCAGCCATCTTCTGTTCAAGCCTCTAGAACAGGGGTGTCAAACTCCAGTCCTGGGGGGCCGGAGCCCTGCACAGTTTTTGGTTTACCCTCATTTAACACACCTGAATCATTTGTGGTGGAACAGGGAAAGAACTAAGCTACACAGGGCTCTGGCCCCCCAGGACTGGAGATTGACACCCCTGCTTTAGAAATTCAAACAATTATGTAATCAGGGATGGACTGAGATTGAAACTCAGCAGGGGGGCGGGGGGTGTCCCCACCATAATGCCTAGTATGCCAGATGGTCGATCCACCCCTGTATGGAACATATAAAGAATGAATCTGTGGTGGCCTCCCATCTCTAGTGGTGGGGGCCTGAATCCTGCCTCCCCTCTGCATGTGGAATTTGCATGCAGGTTGTTGGTTTGAATGCCAGGAATGACTCTACTCCATTGGGCCCTTGAGCAAAGCCCTTAACCTGCAATTGCTTCATCCTGGGTATGATGTTAATCTACACCCAGCCCTGCATGCAGGTCCTCCAACTTACAGGGAAATTTGGCGGTTAGTGGCAGGATTGGCACTCCAACCACTGGAAAAAACTCACACTGTTCCAGTCGGACTAATGTGGTGCTGAGGTATCACCCGCCGCATGGCTGCACTCAGGTTCTCGTTGTTGTCTTGTGCTGGGTGCAGCAACGCACTGTAATCAGCGCAAGCTCCTTACCTCCGTCGGGCAGGTTTCTTCCTAGTACTTTGGTTTCTCCCCACAGCTTAGAGACATGCAATAAGAGTAACTGGTGTCTTTAAATTGCTCATTTTTAATGAATATGTAAGTGTCCTATGATGGAGGGACTTCCCAGTCATGACGCAGATGTACCTTGTGCCCTGAGCTGCCAGCTATTGGCAGAAAAAACTAAATTAGTGTTAGTCCAGGTAAATGCAATCAGAAAGATTTACTTTATTTTCCTCCTTGATAATTCAAGTGTAATTATTTCCTTTGAGTTTTACTTCACGTCTGTCCTTTATTCGCTTGGCTTTCTGATGTGTTTTTTTTGTATTATTGTACCAGAATGAAGAATAAGCTGTGGTATTTTGAATTCGCCACCACTGAGACGATTTCAGCTTCCTGTAAGAAGCTGAAAGAGTGTCTCACTATTGAGGTGAGCAACTAAACTTGTAACATTCACTTGGTCCAAGTGTTACATCTCCTACCAGAACACTGTAGGGGCTCTGCAGCCTGCTGCATGTGTAGTATATATCGAGAAGAACTGAGAAGACCAGCCCCAATTGTTAATCACTGAATGATTCTTCTGAACTAATTAATTGCTTGCATTCTGTTGCTTGAAGTGCTATAAGGTCTCATGTCAGGCTGAATGGTAATTCTATTAGTAATTTTTTTTTTGCTTTCTAGTGCTGTGGAACACCTCTTGACTTGAGTAGCCTCTCTTTAGAAGGAATTGCCATCCTTAATATTCCCAGCATGCATGGTGGCTCAAATTTGTGGGGTGACCCCAAAAAGGTCGACAGCAAGAGCTCTGCTGAACGGGAGTTGCCAGAGGTCATCGTTGACCCCGATATCCTTAAAACAAGCCACCAAGGTATGCAGACACCTCTGCAGATCACTTTGAATAAGTCTCATCAACATGGTGCTTCTCTCACAGTATATCCTGCTCTCCCCAAGATCTGAGTGACAAGCGTCTGGAGGTGGTGGGGCTGGAGGGGGCGATGGAGATGGGCCAGATCTATACAGGCCTGAAAAGCGCTGGCCGTAGGCTAGCCAAGACCTCACAGATCACTATCAGGTACACTGTGTAATAAGCTGTACTGATATCCAACCGTGCCGACGCCCACTTGCTGGACCTCAACCACGGAGCCCAGATGGACCATGTGCGCTCTGCCATTTCGATTTTTGTTATCATTTTTTGAAAATAGTTGTACGAACACCAAGCAAGGAAGAGCAGATAGTGGACTGTCACTTTGTAAGCGCTATTCGAACATTCGTTCGAACATGATGTGACAAATTCATTAACCCATTTGAATTTTAAGTGTCGCTGTAGCCTACAATCGCATTAGACAGTTTGTTGTAATTTTGTTGCTTGCCATCGAAAGTTGCCACTAAAAGGTCAGGGTGGGAAAATATTGTTTGAAATGGTTTTGTGTTCTCTCGCCATACTTTTGCGTTCCCTCGCAATAGATTTGCGATCCCACTAAATTTGGCCATTTGCTATTTGCTGCAACGTGACCGCAGGGATAAACCTAAATAATACAGACATGCCCTGTAAAGTGTGCTTTAAGAATTAAACTGTGGGAACAATGTAAACCATGTAACTTTAATATTATGTGGTTTTATACGTATTTATTAATAACTGCAGTGTGTCCGTTCACCGCCAGTGGCTTTAAGCAAGACAGGTGGGCTATTGAACATGAAGTGCACAAACAAACACTGAAATGTATTACAAACACTGTAAAAACAGCCGGAAAACGACATATAAAGCTAACTTTACCATAGTTTTGGAGTTAAGGTTTAAACTCGAACCCACTTTGCGGAATATTTCAGTATGTATCCTGTATAGATAGTTTGATGACTTCTGATCCATTTTGATGCCTCATATATTCAAGCAGCCGTGTTGCCAGTCGTCTAACTCCAAAGGCCCCCTCCTCTTGCAGGACAAAGAAGGCTTTGCCCATGCAGATTGACGGGGAGCCGTGGATGCAGCCGCCCTGCACGGTGAGTGTCAGGTGCATGGCCGAGCCGCGGCCATACGCTGCCTGCTCTGACCTACCAAGGGAAGCGGCACAGTGTGTCATTCTCTTTTCAACCCCCCCCCCCCCTGCATAATTTCAGATACACATCACACACAAGAACCAGGCCCGCATGCTAATGGCCCCACCTGCCAGATCATCTAGTTTCTTCAACCTCAAGTAGATCTTTCAACAGAAATGGAAGCCTGGGATCATGCCTCAGTTGAGTCTTCACCCTGTACAGTATTGCTGGGATATTAAGCTGCCTCATTTTGTGAAGTCTGTCCTTGTGCATGTGAGACAAACCGCGAGCGGTTGAAATACAAGCAAATAAAAATGTGCCATTAACCAGTCAAGCGCCCCTTCGTCACGGGCTAAGAGACGCCGCGCTTTGGCCAGCCTGGAACTCGCTTCTGAACGCCATATGCAGCCTTCAGCTCAACCTCAAAAGGTTGTCGAGCACCGAGTGCCACTTTATTGCATGTGACGCACATGCTTGTTAGGGCTGTGAGGCTAATTGAGCTCAGTCTTCTGTTTTTAGGGACGGTGTTACAGTCTTAAGCTATGCTGTGTAATGAGCTTTTATGCGGAAGAGGTTTGCAATCCTGCTGACTGTGTATGTAAAACAACTTAATCTTTAGCAATTTCCCATTTACAACAGCAGATGTTTAAAAGTTTTAGTGCATTTTAGTGTTTGATCTTTATCTTAAAATTACACCTGTATGTTTGATCTGGACTGTAGTAGTAAGGCATCCGTTAATTTATTTGCTTTTCTGTATATTTTGGAAAATGGCCCTTTGCAAATCCTGAGAATGATTGTGGTGTAACCTTTCTCACTAAAAGGTCTTCATTTAGAATTAAAGGATTATGAAATGTTTTATTGGTTTGTCGTTTTTCTAGTCCCTTGTGACAATGTTAACACTGAGCTAGGCAAAGCTTTCATAAAGAAGCCTTGTCCATAACATTACCCCTGTTTTCTTTAAATGACCTCCTTCTCAATTATTCTTCAAATATTAAACTGCAAGCACAAAACTATTGTTTTGCTTATTGGAGCTGTGACACATAAACTTTTCACTGGCAGAGCCTTTTACAAAAGTACGAAGAATCATCACAGTCAATACAGTGACTGTGACATCCACATCAGAGACACAATTATTTGATTGAAGTAAAAATATCTTCCAACCTCCTATCCTGATTAGGATTGTTTTGAGTCTGCAGCCTATCCCAAGTACCATAGGCCACAAGCCTGGGGTACAGCCTTGATGGAATCGCAGGGTATCAATACATACAAGGCAGTAGAATTCACTTTTAATAATCTTACATGTAAAATACTCTTGTGGGCTATAATTAGGTATATTTCCATTTATAAATATTAATGAAACAACTAAGGATTTGATACACACCCACTGTGCCAGTGGCCAGTGATCAGTTGCTAGTTGAATCCCCAGGCAGGCACACCGATGCCGCGCTGTGCCCTTCATCAGGGCCTTTAACCTCCGATTGGTACAGGGGCATGGCACGCTGCCGGCTGCCCATGACCCTGCACTGTGTTCCTTCAAGCTTGCTCTCACCCAAGACCGTGCAGAGACTTCTCAAGGGGCAGGCTCAATGAAGGGGTTGGGCTCCCCCACCCCCCCTGTAAATTTGCATGACTGAACAAGGATGCTTAGGACCTCAAAAGGGGGCTTTTTCAATCGCAAAATGGGAAGGTTCTCAGCCGCTCCTCCAAGTCCCTAATCTCACCTGCATATGTGTGTCACATGGAGAACAAGATGGCCAAAAGACAATTTCCCCATGGGGACTTATAAAGTATCTGTGTTCTGTTATTAGAAACACCATTCTAATACTGGGTAGGACCCATCTTTGCTCTCAGAACAGCCAGAATGTGTCATTGTATGGAGACCACAAGGAACTGGATACATTGCTTACAGATTCTGGTCCATGTTGACATAATTTCATCATGTAATTGCTACAGATTTGCTGACTGCGCAGTCATGCTGAGAATCTCCCATTCCATGCCGTTTCAAAGCTGCTCTTTTGGATTCAAATCTGGTGACTGAGGAAGCCAGTGAAGCACAATTAACTCATTGTCATGTTCATGGAATCAGTTTGAAATGGCAAGTTATCCTGCTATGGATTCATGTTGCTTACACCAAATTCAGACCAGCAAAAATCGAGATTTATCAGACCAGGTGACATTTTTCCGGTCTTCAGCTGTGGTGAGCCTGTGCACAGTGTGGTCTCAGTTTCCTGATCTTAGCTGACAGGAGAGCAACCCAGTGTAGTCTTTTGTAACTTATCCACCTCATGGATCAAAGTCTTGTGCATTCTGACACACTTCTCTGTTTACCACTGTTCCAAAGAGTGGTTATTTGACTCGCTGTTGTCTTCTTGGTAGTTCAGACCAGTCTATGCATTCTCTTCTGAGCTCTCTCATCACAAATGAGTTTCTGCCCCCACAGCTGCCGCTCGTTGGATGTTTTTTGTACCATTCTGTGTAAATTCCAGAGACTGTTGTGTATAAAAATCCCAGGAGATATAATCAAACCACCCTGTCTGGCACCAACAACCATGTCACTGTCAAAGTCACTTAGACTACACTGAACATCTGCCACACGATTGAACGATTAGATATGCATGAATGAGCAGCTGTAAAGTAATACAGTATCATATACTTGAAAGTTGACTTCTAACATAGATTTGTCACTGAGTTTTATCAAATACAGTGGTACCTCGGTTCTCGAACTTAATCCGTTCCAGACTCCGGATCGAATCCTAAAAAGTTCGAGTTCTGATCAAATTTGTCCCATAAGAAATAATGGAAAACCAATTAATTGGTTCCCGGCCAACCAAAATTACACCTAAATATGTTTTTTTTTTTTTTTTTTAAGCATTTAAACACAAAATGAACAGGATAAAACAAGAAGAGCATTTTTTTCTTAATGACTTCCAAATAAACGATAAAGATCTTATCCCAACATTACCCCTGTCCTGCCCCGATTGTCCGCTCCTTCCGTGTGCTACGCCCCCTCGTTAACCTCGTGTGGGATCCCCATGTGATCAGCTGTTTCTGGTTGTTGTCAT